AAATTGGCCCTTTGAAAGGAAATTAGAACAAACAATAGTGTAACGACTGAAATGAGAACAAGGAAAGAGGAAATGTGCCATTCTTCAGAGAATGAGTGTAGAGATCAAGGGTAATCCGGATTAGGTCTGAAACTCTATGGGGCTCTTTTTTCTCTCAGCATTGGGTAATAATGGTGATGTCAGCTGTAAGGACAGGAGTTAATAAAAGTGCAAGTATGGAAGTGGAATACAGCATAGTTGCTCAATAGGTTATTATGCTCAAACGGAGACATGAGATGGTCTGAACTGGCATCTGACACGGCATGAATTGTAGTGAAGATCTTCAATAAATCCTATGAAGCTGTGGATAGTGTAGTATGACAAGGAGTTAGCAGAGGCCATACCTATATTTATAAAGGAAAAGAAAAAAAGTCGTCTTGCTAGTTGTAGACTCAGTCTTTATTGTGAGGCTTCAGAGTAAATCTGGAAGGAAAATATTTTTAAAAACTGGATCCATCAACAGCAGATTGAATTGTGATTTTCATCCATGCAAGATCATGCAAGAAGAAATCTCCTTTATTCTTTTAGACAAGTATATTAGCTATATGTACAATGACAAATAAAGCTTCTGATATGGGGTCACATGGAAAAGAATTAATTATAAAGGATTATGTATATGCTGTTATTTTACAAGCAGACACAACCCTCATCTAAAAAATGGCACTTGCTTTAGTTGTATTCACGTAGCATTTGTCATTTGGAAGGATAGCTGGATTGAACTCATGTCTTTGTGCAAAATAACATGTACCCACGAAGAAGATAAGAGATTAGTCAAAAGCAAGTAAGAAACTAGTTATCAGAGAGGTAGCAACAAACATCTTAGAAAGGAGAAGTGTAAATCTAAGGATTTTATTAGTGAAGTTTACTTCCAGTTTCTCACCAGTTGACGGTGTTAATGTTGTCACTGAGAGCTTTGGCTTGAAGATCAGCAGTGTACTATTGAAACTGATTGGTGATACAGAACTAGGAGCAGGAGGTATTAGCCATAGAAATTAAGTTCAAGATATCTTGCAGAAAGACTGGAATACTGTGAAGTACTGGAAAAATAAAAGCAGAGGAGTGACATTTAATGGTAACAACTACAAGGTCACACATTTAAGGATGAATAAGAAAAAAATGTTGTGAGCTGGGTAGTGTCAGCAGACAGGAAAAGGGACAGATGTCAGAAGATGACTGTGGGCAGAATAGATGCAAAAAATGAACCAGATGTTTCCACTGGAGATAAGGATGTAGTTCTACCAGAGCACCAGTCAGACAGATTTTCAGATTGATCAAGAGAATGGAGTGCTTGCTTACTGACAGGTAGCAGAAAATGTTGTGTTTATTTGCCCTACTTAAAGAAAGAATAGGCGGAAATGTATGTGATCACTATAAATGCCTAAGTAATAAAAAATAACAGAGAATAAAGCTATTATGCTTATTTATTCTAAGTCATTGAATATTTTTCCTTCTGTTGGCCATTTAAAAGCATTGTAAAAGTCATCTCTTACCTGCAAGGAGCCTGCCAGGATAGGGTGTTTTGTGTTCATACCTCTTCAGACTTAATTGAGATGAGGGTATTGGATGTGACTCTGGAGTAATTAGGAAGGGATAAATGCCAGTTTGCCCTCTGTTTTTCTTTCCTTAAGTCTTCTATTTTTCCAGTCTATGGGACTATTAAGCACATAATGTTGTATATTTAAATATTTTGAAACAAAAATAGCAGCAAATAGATCAGTAATTAGATTTCTTAATGAAGATCTAGCTAATTTACCTTTGATTTATGGAAAGAAAAATGCTTTTGTAAAAAAAAAAAAAAAAATTTAAAAAAAAAAAAAAAAAGGGGGGGGGGGGGAGAAACATCCATCCACATAGAAACAAGTGTGAAGGCATTAGAACTTGTGGTCTAAACAAAATTATGAGAAAGACCACCACATCGCAATGATAGAATACGCTTTTAGGGTTAAACAAGGTCTTCACCTACAGTGGCCCGTATCCCAAAGGATTGACTCCCAACTGAGCTGTTTCTTTTAGAGAAAACTACAACCAGAGCAATGTGAGTGTAATGCTTTTTTTTCTTATTGTCGCACATTATTTCCCCTACGCTCCACAAAAACTTAATCCAACCTGATACATTTTTGTGAGAAGTTCTGATTTCTACATCCTGACATTTTTCAAAGAAATAATATTTTGTCAAAAAGTTCCCAAACAGCTATTGTTATTACTAGAGGTGAGCTCATTTAGGATTATTGCCATGTGCATTATGGATGAATTTCAGTATACATTATAGGACTCTTCCAACTGTTTTATAATAGTACAGGCACTGTTATTTTATTTAGCAGTTTAACTTTATGATGGACAAAGTTCTGCTTTCCTTCTACTGAAGGAAGGCATCTTTCAGTTGTGGGGCTATTTGAGTCATATCTGCACTTACCAGTGATGCACTTACCACTTACCCCTGCAGGATGGGTCTTTCCGTTGTATGGTTGCATACCATGCACATAAATTCCTATTTTTGGTGGTTTCACACAGTTCCCCCTTACCTGCAGCTACTCAGGAGACCAACAAATGCTTCTTCTCTCCCCACCCCCTTAGACTTTTTGTAGCTTTTTGTTTATTTGTTAGTTTGTTTTGTATTTTAATCCAAAGTACCTGACTCTACTGTAATTTTTACTGGCATAAATCAGCTGCCAACCCAGTCAAATCAGTGCAGTTTTCTCTACCAAAAATGGCATAAATGAGTCTCAGACTCTAGTACCTTATGACTTTTGTCCTGAAAAGCAAGTGGAACATGAGGTGTATTTTTTTATGATAGTTCTCCAAAGAGACTAGCCATTAATCTCTCTGTGAGTAGGTGTGTCTGCTGCAAACATTTCCTTCCAGTCTACCATTTCAATCACACTTCACAGTACACTGAAAATTGGCAAGGATGTTAATTACTGGCCTCTAGAACAAACCACCTACTTTGATTCAAGCATGTTTTTCCAATTTTTAAGAATGTTGTTTCACCTACAGTACAGTATAATTATAGAAAATAGCTTGGTTTGGCCAACATTCTTGTGTTCTGTGAGTTCTGCTTGCGAGGCTGCAAGCAGCACCAGGCGAGTGGCTCACCTGCACAGGATTTTAACCTCTTGCTGACAGGAGTTAGGGCTTGCCAGCTGCAAGTACATTGTTTTCAGTTTTAGAAAGTTAAAACACTGTCACTTGAAGGTTAAACATTAACACTTTTTGCTTTTCAAGCTCAATATAGTACGATAGTTTGTTTTTCTTCTCAAAGGAAATTGCTGTTACAAAAATCTTACAAATGTGTTAGAAGAGTAATTACGGTGGTGGGTCTTGCACCCCAATAGTGCAAAGCCCTGGGCACAGCTCGATACACTGAGCCGTACAACGTGGACGTCGACACGACTGATGAACCAGCAGGATAAATAGCTCATAGATGACTGGGAGCTGACAATAAACAGTAAAACACCTGTCTGAAAGACTTACAGTCTTAATAGGCAAACAGGAAACAAAAGCAAGTGTTGAGCCTGTTTTAAGCGAGAGATTTTGAGGCACAGAGAGCAAGTTGTTCATGATTATATAGTGAGTCTGGCAGAGCCGGGAACTGAACTCTATGCCTTTCGTTTCATGTATTCCCAGCTCATATAACAAGCCTTTAATTTACCAAGAAACTTTTCTGCAGCAATGTCCTGAAGAGTTGGCAGAATTCACAGTCAGCATTTCTCACACATGTAGCTCTTGGTTTGGATCTCTACAACTTGTAACATTAATAACTTACACCATGAATTAAAAACACTGGAATGATATAGAAACCAGTCCAATACTCAGCCTTCTGTGTCAGAGAATTGCTCTGTAATGCAGTCTTATTTGTTGTTACAACAATTATTTATTCTCTAATTATAAAATAATTAATATCGCAACTGCAGCCTAAATGAAATCCTGCAGTGCTATCGAAATTGAACATTTTAAAGTTAATGATGATTAAGCTGCAGAGACATACTAAAGGTGCATGTTCCCCTACCTGCTGCTTAGGCACGATGCCGTGTCAGGGCTGGCTGACCGGCCCGGCGCACGCAGCCATCTCCAGAACGGTTGTGAGTCACGAGCCGCCCGCAGCACGCTGTGAATAAACATCCGGGATGGGGACATGGCAACACTTTATCAGGGATTCCCTCGCACCAGTAATGCAGATCCTGGATGGGAATGCACCCCAATCCCCGAGCAAGGCAGCGATGCCTGTCTCAGCAGCCCCCACAGCTCAAGACATGGATTAACCTGCAGCCCTCAGGTGAGCTGCTGGTAACGTCATGTAGCTCTAGGACGTGAGGAGCTGCACAAGAACAGCAGGAAAGCTACATGCACACATGGCCCTACATTGTGCCAGGGGAAGTGCAGGTTAGATATTTGGAAAAAATTCTACATGGAAAGAATAGTCAAGTGTTGGAACAGGCTGCCCAGGGAAGTGGTGGAGTGGCAATGTTCAAGAAACATGTTCATGAGGCACTTATGGACATGTTTTAGTAGGCATGGTGGTGATGGACTTACAGCTGGACTTGATGATCTTAAAGGTCTTTTTCAACTATATGATTCTGTGATTCTATACAAAGAGCTCCAGGTCAACAGACTGTAGCTGAGTGCCTTGCTTAGCTGTCTAGCATACACTGGTCAACAGCTTGCACTAGGATCATTTAATATCAAAATCTGAAGTATATTTGTTGACAAACACTTGGTTAAACTAAAGAAGAAATCTAACCTTTGCCACTCAAAAAGCTTACTGTGAATGTGAAGGAAACTGTACAAAGCATTATCCTGGTGGAAGAAAAAAAGGCAAAAAAAAACTCAGTTATAATGGTATAAAAAAAAGGATTTTTTTGTTAGAGTTAAGTAGACAGTATTGCAAAACAGTATTTCACTATTAGCATAACTGAAATGAGCATATGAATTATCTGAATAAATCATTGTCTCTCATTTTGCAGGCAGAATTGATAAACTTGCAACGAGAAAAAGAGGCTGTTCTTCAGCAGTGCAAAAAACTGGAAGAAGAAATTCAGACATTGCGTATTTATTACAGGTAAAATAATTAATACTAATGTAACTCAGTGACTCATAGGGGAAATTTTCTGTACTGTGTCATGACTCTAAGTGAGGAAATGCCCTTATCAAATAGGTATTTGTTGGAATGGTGACATCAATGAATCAAGGCCTGCATTTCTGCTTTACTGCTCACCAACCACCTCTTTGAAATATAAGTCATTTTCTTATAGCCTAAGTATTCTGTTAGATTCCTTTAAGGAAAAGGTGCTGTTAGTCAGTTCTCTCTTAAAACAAAAACTGAAAGGCTATGCTGGAGCAATGCATTTAATTAAAAACATGAGGACAAAAGGACTAGTTGGCATGAGAGCTTTGGTTGTTTGAACATACTTAGATTTATCAACATTGATTTAAAAAAAATAAATTCTGTAATTTTAGAAGACTGCTTTCCTTTCCAACCCCCAACATAATATATATGTTTTAATTACTTACGTTCTTTAGCAGTAAATAGAGAAATTGACATTCTTTCTTTAATTTTTTTGGGATACACTGAATATTTCTATGGATCACTGGATTCTGGTCTCCAAAGAAAATCTCTGTGTGGTCCAGTGAAAGAGTTAGGGTGTTTTATGGAGTGACGTTGGGTTGCAGCTCTCATTTCATCCTGACCTCCTGGGTGCAGGAGGATACAGAGCTGCCAGCAGGTTTAAGGCAAGAGTATTGGCATCAACACAGCAGAAATTTGTGAATCTAGGGACTGAATATCTGTTATGAGAGATGTGGGCTACAGAGGCAAATAATAAATGCAGTTTGAATATTATGCTCATTGGAAATAAAGAGAAGTAGTTAGTTTTGGACAGAAAGCATTTGCAATAGCGGAACTGTGTATGTTTTCAGTGTTTCCGCATTTGCGAGTGAAAAATACTCAGGTTTCTAGAGATTTTTAGAGTTTCCTCTTCCAATTAAGTTTATTAAAAACTCAGAGGTAGGTTTCAAAAACAATTTTTGTTCCTAAATCTCATAGGCATTTATTTAAAGCCTGTTAATAGTCAATAGAAACCCCAAGCGATTTCTGATCATCGCTTTTAATTAATTTGGTCACCATTCAGTGTAGACATAAGTTATGGTATGATTTGCTAGGCTAGAAAAAAATTGTTATAGTTTCTTTATTACTCACTTAAATGGGATTTGTAAGTTAGTTTAAGAACAGAAATGCAATTTTTATAGCGATATTTCAGAAACTGATAGTTCAGGTGTGTTGGAGCCTGCACATTGCAGGATATTTTTTGACAACTTTTCATGCAGCTGATGTAAGATAGTATATCAAGCTTGCTCCACCATAAAATTAGACAAATGCTACAGTATGTAGCAGACAGTTTATTCATGCAAATGCTTTAAATCCCAGTAATGTCAATAATAAAGACTTGTGTAACTCCCCATTAGAATGCACCATTTTAATAAGTTATGGCCTTTACTTTGAACAGGAAAAATTTCACTATAAGTTTGATGAGGGCATTTTGCAAAGTTTATTCCTTAAGTGTGTAAATATATATCTGAATATTCCTGGGGGCAACAACCTTTGCAACAATACTAAGTTATGAAAGTAATATAATAATTCTTAGCATCTGAAATGCTGATTTTGTATCCTGAAATTTTATATCGTACCTCACTGACCTTTGAGAGTATTTCTTACTAATGCACTTTAAAGCATAAGTATATATCATCAAAGAGAATCAGAAGGCATCTTTAGGTTCATCTAAAACTTTCGCAGAAGTAAAAATATGGATGACAAGACCCATATATTGATTTTGAAAAGTAAGTTGAAAATGACTACATTTTAATCTCTGGTCCTTGGTGGGGGCAGATGATGGGTTAACCAGTCCTCTTTTCTGAGAAAGAAACTTTAAATCTTAGAGAGTCAGAGGTTTGTTAGATGTATGGTTTTATTTCTTTTTATTTGGTGGCAGACGAAGAGGATGGTCACAAACAAGTAATGCTACATTCCAAGTTTCAGCCACCTTAATTATAACATCAAGCTATGCTTGATTTGCAATGCTTCCTTATATTTCTAATCATTAAGAGAGAATATAAGCTAAAATTGCACTCTAAACATAGTTTCTTGTTTCATACCAGCAGAACATCAAGAGAAAAATTTTAAACGTACTCTTTTGGGGGCTTCCTGTTCCTTGCTTTCTGGTTTCTTTGTTGTTTTTGTGGTCTAGTGCCTATCTTTAGCCTGGGTTGGAAATAAATTGCATTATTGTGAAGATTCTTATGAACATATTAGCATTTTGGTTATAGTTTAACATATGCTGCATGACCATCTGCAGCCTGTGTCATCCAGTGAGCTGACAGGGTAACACACCTTTGAACACATGCCAAAGGCAGTTGGAGACAGGAAGCTAAGTGAAGAAAGGAATATATGACATACGTGCGTAATGCTCAGGGGACTATGTCAGACCCCATGTCGATTGACCACAATAGTCATGAATGACAAAGTGGAAAGTGCATTTCCTAAGGGTATCCCAGATGACCAGAACTTTGCTCCTTATTTGTATGTGCACACTGCTTTAGGAATGCTCGTGTGCTGCTACTTGCCACACAGTGGTAAACTAGAGTAAGTGCTTACTAGAGTAAGTGCTGAGAATGGTTTGCAGACAGCCTGTTAGGGGATATAAAAAAGGTTAAGTGGAACTTTGGTGCTTTGATCCAAGTGAGTTAGCTAGAATGAGTTACTGCTCAAGACTGCTTTAACCTGAGTTATTTCTCATTTGGATCCCGAGTCCCCCAGCCCACCCCACCACGTTGCGCTCCTCATGTGCGCTGCAGAGCTGCAGTGGACATCATAGCACCCAAGGCAGACACTTTCCTTGCCTGCTGGTCTCTTCCCTGTTCATTTCTCACAGCGTCACCTCTGTGGTACCTTTGCCAACAAGCCAGCTTGTTGGCAAAGGTCAGCTTTCCTGCTTCTGCTTTTAGGTTTTTAGCCTCAGTAAAAACATATTCTCATGCTTTTCTTGTTTGTTTCCTTGTTTTAACTGAGATTTCCACGTTATCTAATGTAGGAGGAAGAAATTTAAGCAAAAGACAATTCTGGAAGCTGATGTTGGTGTGTCAGGAAAACGTAAAGGCCTACCTTCGTGTGCAACTACGTTACAGGGGTTCAGGCATAAATATAATGGCTGCATGTGGATTAACTATTTTTGAAAGCACATAGTAACATCAGAATTAATATTTTTATATGTATTTTTCTCTAACATCGGTAAAAGCAAGAAAAGACTGAATATTATTTTATTACTAAACAAAAAAAATCAGTCAGAGAGAAGGTATTTTGCTCCAGAGTATCTGTATGTATGAAGATGCAACTGCTGAAAGAGAAAAGAATCAAAAAATCTTTTTATTTTTTTGTAATTTCCTCAAATGAAATACACATAAGCACAGGGACAAACTCAATTTTCATTTTAATTACAGAACTAAATCACTCTATAACAGGAGAAATAGATGAGGAAAGATGCTTGGCAAGGTAACATCTGTACTCCAGGGAAAAAAAGGCTGTGTTCTATTCAGGGCCTGAATACAATGGTACATATCAATTTACTTCCATTTTATAGTTTCATGATCCATATTGTGGATTGTAATACTGGAATTATACTGTTTCAACTATGCTTCATGGATTCTGTACGTGGATTTTAATGCTATAATGCTTACTGGTACACTGTTCCTCATGTTCTAGTTGCAAGAGCTATCGCAAGCTGTAAGTTATTCTGTCTAACATGTCAGTGATCTGTAGGTGTTTCAATAATTATTTATAGTATATATACATATAAATAATCTGCAGTAATGGTGTAGTTGTTTCAGAATGGTTTGCTTTATATGTAAAATAATGTGACTAGTTAGGTTCATTAAGAAGAATGACCAAATAATGTACAATGTCTTAGTAAACGTGCTGCAATTTTTTCATAATAGTTTTGTGGAGATCAGAGGAGAAGGTAACAGTTTGATTTGAACTATTCTATGTCTTTACAGCAGCAATTCCTATTTTATCCTGGAATTTCAGACATCTGTCATCAAACATAAATCTTGTCAGTCACAGCCACTAACAAGAGAAAGATTCTTTTTCTTTTTACGGCAGAGATGAAATGCTTGCATGTAGAACACAGTGCGATGTCTTCTTGTGAAGCAACCCAATCCACTGCAGTTTGATGCAGTCCAACACCAAGAGAACAATAGTTCTGTAAGGGAACACTAAGTTTTTTGTTTGTCTTTTGTAATTCTAAAAAAAGCAGGTATCACCCAAATTATATTTCTTAGTTTATTTTTTTTGTATACAGGTTTGCATGTGCAAGAAATGAAGGTTTATCCTTTTTTTTTTTTTAACATGGGTGCTTCCTGTTTGTTTATTGAACTGGCTGCTGGAATTAGTTGATTTATTTTTATTTTAATCAGATTGGTTGAAAAAAAAGTTCCTGTGAGGAACATGGGTGTTTCAGAGAATTTTAGTCAACTCCTGGGAGCCAGGAGAGCCCACACCCTAGTTAGGAAAGTCCCCTGGGATTCCGAGGCGGCAGGCTCAGGTTTCTCTGTTATTGTGCCCCATTCCAGCGGCTGCTGCAGCCACCAGCATCGGCATTCTGGGCTGTGGTTATACATGCCTTTTCCGCTGGCAACCCCCACTCTGTTCTTTCCCTTTGTCTGCTTCTTGCTGGCCCTATCCCAGCTCCCTGCAGTGTTACAGAGACAAAAGTCCAGGTTTTGGGGTCCATCCCATGAACTGGATCAAGCAACAGTGGAGGATAAAAAAGATCAGTTAATTGGTAAAGCAGCTGCACAAAACTGTACTAGGGCTGCTCTATGTCTCCGTGCTCAGGTATAGACAAGCCGCACTCTGCCTTGTTATCCTCATATATTCTACTCTTTAATGGACTTATTATTCTCACCCATATCCCTCTATCCCTTTCCCAGACTTCATGTCCTTTAGCCTGGAATCAATCACTGTCCCTGCTGGATTGCCAGAGAGACTGAATTTATAAGAGTGGATAG